GTGGCCCAGAGCCATATTATTACCATCGACATACCATGTTCACCGAGTTTAATCGTTTCTATTACCTTTAGATGCCATCATAAACAAAGGGAGAAGTAATGAATAATTCATGCCGAGAACTGTAAACAAGAGTGTTATGTATTAAGGGGAGTGACGTACTGTTTTCCCTCAGCCCAGCTATCACACCTCCATAGTATATAAACAAAATGTTTATATTCTATGTAACGTGTTTCTTATATAGTTTTGAAGAAAATATCATAGATGGATTAATGAGAATGTCTATATTGACGTAAAATAAGACATTTAATGTGCCCAAGAGTGATTATTATTACATAATAGGGATATGTGCTCATGAAGAATGTAAACAAACCGGGTGGTGTGTGTTGTATTTGAAAGACCGCTTGCCGTATAGAAAGTTTTGGTCATAATTTGAAATCACCATATTAGCGGAACACTGTAAGGTGAAACGCCGAAAAGCAGGGCCCTACTGTATTTCCTCCCCACTTCCCAACACTGGGTCACCTCAACTCAGTGGTGAGATTTGGGCGGTTTGTGCCTAGGGTAGGGACTATTCTCGGGGAAGGGTGCCCCACTCCATACAGTGTATGACTAAGAACAAAGCAACTCTTTTGGTATAAAATGGTGGGATATTTCCTCTTTCATCTATATGCATTGGCAATCATGGCTGACAACACAAAATAACTTATGATTGTGGGTTGCTGATTGGGAAAAATACTTCAAATAATTTTACTTGCCTGGTGATTATGATTTATAAATCATATTTTTTTTTTTTTTTCAACAAGTCGGTCGTCTCCCACCGAGGCAGGGTGACCCAAAAAAGAAAGAAAATCCCCAAAAGAAAATACTTTCATCATTCAACACTTTCACCACACTCACACATTATCACTGCTTTTACAGAGGTGCTCAGAATACAACAGTTTAGAAGCATATACGTATAAAGATACACGACATATCCATCCAAACTGCCAATATCCCAAACCCCTCCTTTAAAGTGCAGGCATTGTACTTCCCATTTCCAGGACTCAAGTCCAACTATATGAAAATAACCGGTTTCCCTGAATCCCTTCACTAAATATTACCCTGCTCACACTCCAACAGATCGTCGGGTCCCAAGTATCATTCCTCCATTCACTCCTATCAAACACGCTCATGAAACGCTTGCTGGGAAATCCAAGCCCCTCGCCCACAAAACCCCTTTACCCCCTTTTTCCCAAACCCTTTCGAGGACGCCCCACCCCTCTTTTCCCTTTCCCCCATAGATTTATATGCTTTCCTTCCATTCATTTTGATCCTTCTCTCTAAAGACCAAACCACCCCAACAACCCTCTTTCGCCCTCTGACCAATGCTTTTATTAACTCCACACCTTTCCAATTTCCACACTCCGAATTTTTTGCATAATATTTTCACCACACTTGCCCTTAACAGGGCACTCCACGCCCCACCGTCCCCCTGCGCGCATTTACCCCCAACTTCACATCCATATAAGGGAGTGTTTGGTACTACTATACTTTCATACATTCCCTTCTTGCCCCCATAATAACGTTTTTTGACTCCAATATCCTCAAAGCACCACTCACCCTTTTTTCCCCCATCAAATTTTATGATTAACCCATCCTTTAAAAACCACCGCCGACACCCGCAACTCCCCAAATATCTGAAAACATTCCTTCTTCATACTCCTCCTCCCCAATTTGATATCCAATTTTTCTTTATCTAAATCTTTGATACCCTCATCACCTTACTCTTTTCAAATTTACTTTCAACTTTTTTACCTTTCACACATTCTCAAACCATCCACAACCTTTGCAATTTTTCTTTAGAATCCCCTAAGCCAGTATCATCACAAAAAGTAAATTGCAATTCCCTTTTGAATTTGTTCCCATAATTTAAACCCACCCCTCTCCCGAAAAACCTAGCATTTACTTCTTTTAAAACCCCCATCTATAAAATATTAAACAACCATGGTGACTTACACTTTGCCTGTCTAAGCCCTATTTTTAAACCGGAAGTATTCTCCCTCTCTTCTACACACCCTAACCTGAGCCTCACTATCCTCAAAAAAAGCTCTTTACAGCATTTAGTAACTTACCACCTATTCCGTATACTTGCAACATCTGCCACGTTGCTCCCTATCCACTCTATCATATGCCTTTTCTAAATCCATAAATGCAATATAAAACTCCTACCTTTATCTAATACTGTTCACATATATGCTTCAATGTAAACACTTGATCTACACATCCCCTACCCACTCTGAAGCCTCCTTGCTCATCCGCAATTCTACATTCTGTCTTACCTCTAATTCTTTCAATTATAACCCTACCGTATACTTTTCCTGGTATACTCAGTAAACTTATTCCTCTATAATTTTTACAATCTCTTTGTCCCCTTTCCCTTTATATAAAGGGACTATACATGCTCTCCACCAATCCCTAGGTACCTTCCCTCTTTCATACATTTATTAAACAAAAGTACCAACCACTCCAACACTATACCCCCCTGCTTTTAACATTTCTGTCATGATCCCATCATTTCCAGCTGCTTTACCCCCTTTCATTCTACGTAATGCCTCACGTACCTCCACCACACTTACATTCTGCTCTTCTTCACTCCTAAAAGATGGTATACCTCCCTGGCCAGTGCATGAAATTACCACCTCCCTTTCTTCCTCAACATTTAAAAGTTCCTCAAAATATTCTCGCCATCTACCTAATACCTCCCTCCCCCCATCTACTAACTCCCCTAACTCTGTTTTTAACTGACAAATCCATACTTTCCCTAGGCTTTCTTAACTTGTTTAACTCACTCCAAAATTTTTTCTTATTTTCATTAAAATTTCTTGACAGTGCCTCTCCCACTCTATCATCTGCTCTCCTTTTGCACTCTCTCACCACTCTCTTCACCTTTCTTTTACTCTCCATATACTCTGCTCTTCTTATAACACTTCTGCTTTGTAAAAACCTCTCGTAAGCTACCTTTTTCTCTTTTATAACACCCTTTACTTCATCATTCCACCAATTACTCCTCTTTCCTCCTGCCCCCACCCTCCTATAAACCACAAACTTCTGCCCCACATTCTAATACTGCATTTTTAAAACTATTCCAACCCTCTTCAACCCCCCCCCCCACTACTCATCTTGCACTAGCCCACCTTTCTGCCAATAGTCGCTTATATCTCGCCCGAACTTCCTCCTCCCTTAGTTTATACACTTTCACCTCCCTCTTACTTGTTGTTGCCACCTTCCTCTTTTCCCATCTACCTCTTACTCTAACTGTAGCTACAACTAAATAATGATCCGATATATCAGTTGCCCCTCTATAAACATGTACATCCTGGAGCCTACCCATCAACCTTTTATCCACCAATACATAATCTAACAAACACTTTCATTACGTGCTACATCATACCTTGTATAATTATTTATCCTCTTTTTCATAAAATATGTATTACTTATACTAAATTTCTTTCTACACATAGCTCAATTAAAAGGCTCCCCATTTACATTTACCCCTGGCACCCCAAATTTACCTATCTTACTCCCTCCATAACATTTTTACCCACTTTAGAATTGAAATCCCCAACCACCATTACTCTCACACTTGATTCAAAACTCCCCATGCATTCACTCAACATTTCCCAGAATCTCTCTCTCTCCTCTACACTTCTCTCTTCTCCAGGTGCATACACGCTTACTATAACCCACTTTTCACATCCAATCTTTATTTTACTCCACATAATCCTTGAATTTATACATTTGTAGTCCCTCTTTTCCTGCCATAGCTTATCCTTCAACATTATTGCTACTCCTTCTTTAGCTCTAACTCTATTTGAAACCCCTGACCTAATCCCATTTATTCCTCTCCATTGAAACTCTCCCACCCCCTTCAGCTTTGTTTCACTTAAAGCCAGGACATCCAGTTTCTTCTCATTCATAACATCCACAATCATCTCTTTCTTATCATTTGCACAACATCCATGCACATTCAGACTTCCCACTTTGACAATTTTCTTCTTCTTATTCTTTTTAGTAATCTTTTCAGGAAAAGGGGTTACTAGCCCATTGTTCCCGGCATTTTAGTTGACTTTTACAACACGCATGGCTTACGGAGTTAAGATTCTTATTCCACTTCCCCATGGATATAAAAGGAAAAGTAATAAGACCAAGAACTATTAAGATAAATTCAAAGAAAACTCAGATGAGTGTGTATAAATAAACATGTACATGTATGTGTAGTGTGACCTAAGTGTAAGTAGAAGTAGCAAGACGTACCTGTAATCTTGCATATTTATGAGACAGACAAAAGACACCAGCAATCCTACCATCATGTAAAACAATTACAGGCTTTCGTTTTACACTCACTTGGCAGGACGGTAGTACCTCCCTGGGTGCTTGCTGTCTACCAACCTACTACCTACAACATAATATTATAAGTGTAAATTTGATGATTTTAGATACAGCATATGTTTAAAGCACTGAAAAACCAGGTGGTTCTGGTGCTCTGTAAATAAGATAAAACAAACTAGTATACTTCCTCCCTGACATTCCTGACTTTCACTTCCTCACAGGCATCATTCTCACTAATGTACTTAATTTCAATCACTCATATTCTTGAATTTTTCTCTGAACCATTCATGTAGTCCCCAGTAACCTGTATTCATATACATATACTCATTCTACATCTAAATTACCTAGCCTCTCAGTCATCATCTATAATAGAATATAGGAGGTTTTCAACTTGCAATTGATTTGTGTTCCTGCACTGCCAACTTAAAATTTTGAATCTGCACCAATATTGAATCTAACAGTACAAAGGATGTTATATTTCACACATGTTCATACCTCAGCTTGGCAGGTGTCATTTATTAACTGGTTTCCTTGTTTATAAGTGCAGATGTCTACAACTTAGGTAATTTGTAAGTTGGGAACTTAAATACCTTACAAAACAAAAACACTGTTGTACAACTATAAAACCCCACCTGAATCCTGAAGCAGTAAGCTCAATGCAGTAGATATTATCTTCCCTTGTGGTAAGATTGAAATAAATGGTGGTATTTGAGGAGGGAAGGGAGGATACTTGAATCTGGGAGACACAGTCCTTCACATCCTGGATGACAGCAGCAGCTTCCACATGCCACTCCTCTTGGTCAAGCAGACGCTCCTCCTGGTCCTCCATACTCCAACACTCATGCTAACACCACATAAGAATATTGTAGTGATCAATTGTTCCAAATAAAAAGACAGCAAATTCATAGGCCTACAAATAGACAATATATAAACTGAACTTCAACACCCAGACCCAATGCATATGTGAGAAAATAGTGTCCAAAAACTAGCCATAATCTATTTAATTATATACTTGAACTACTCTGATAACCCTACAGGAATCCCCACCCTCCCTTCACTGATCTAACAGAAAGAAATCTAATATCTTTTATAAAGTACTCTAACATTGTAGACTGCTATACACATAGGAATTCAAAGAAGTGTAAGCCATTCTTTTTATTACATACGATAACATCAAGTTCTGAAAGTTAAACATAAAAAACAAAGTACTATAGTACAGTATAAAAAATAATTATCATGTATAGATAAACAAAGTTTAAAAGCATACCAGTATTACTGCTCAACTGTACAGTGAACTACAGGAGGCTGGCCGGCTAACTGTATACTGAATTCAGTAATGACATTATATAAATGCTGTAAAAGACAGAAAACACCCTTCTCCTCTTGTAGATTAGATAAGGCTTATAATATATCCGGGGAGGACTTTCCACATTCTTAACAAGAAATGGTAACTCTACTCAGTTACTCATCAATGCCCTTTCCTCTCATAATGTATTTTATTCTCACAAATAATGCCATATACAGTACTTCTGGTATTAACACAAGAAAATTACAATGCAGTGTTGGAAATTATCAGCCATTACCCACCACAGCAGGGTGACCTGAAAAAGAAGAAATACAGTGGAAGCTCTTTTTTTTTTTTTTTTAATTTTTTTTATTAACACATCGGCTGTTTCCTACCAAGGCAGGATGGCCCGAAATAGAAAAACTTTCATTATTCACTCCATCACTGCCTTGCCAGAGGCATGGTTACACTACAGTTTAAAACTGCAGCATTAACCCTTTCAGGGTTGGTGCCGTACTAGTATGGCTTGCACGCCAAGGTTGGTGCCGTACTAGTAAGCATAAATTTTAGTGCCTTCAAATCTAGCAAGAGAAAGCTGGTAGGCCTACATATGAAAGAATGGGTCTATGTCGTCAGTGTACGCAGTGTAAAAAAAATCCTGCAGCACACAGTGCATCATGAGGAAAAAAAAAAAAACTCTGACCGTGTTTTTGGTTTACAACAGCGACTTTGCAGTGTATTTTCGTATGCTATTTATGGTTGTATTCTAGTTTTCCTGGTCTCATTTTATAGAATGGAAGACATATTACGGAAATTGAGATTACGCATTTTGATTGGTTTCACAATGAAAAGTACCTTGAAATTGAGCTCAAAGTAGCAGAAATGTTAAATTTTTGCCCAAGTTCAAAGGTAAGCAAATCATGCCATGCGTCCAATACACGTCTACTGGCGAGTCTAATACATTCTTTCACAAGTGCACTGATATTATTTATACCATTTCTACACTAATGCAGTAGTTTGCATAACATAAATCTTCTATTTTTTTGTGAGAATATAAATTCAAAGTGGAAAGGAAATGTAACAGAGGCCTGGGGACGTGAGTAATGAACAGAGGAAATGTTATTTTAGTGCCAAGAATGTCTGTCTTGTTTATTCTGGACCCTATTTGGAAATTGGCATCTTTTGAAATTTGTGTGAAATTGGTAAAACTGCCAATTTCTGACCACTTTATTGGATACCTGAAATCGGTAAATGGGTGGTTTCTTGTACTCATTTGATAGAAAAAATGGAGTTCTAGTGAAACAGGTATGATTTTTGTCAACTGGTACATTGGAATTGGCCGAAAATAAGGCTCAATGTGGGCGAAATCACTGATGCGTAAACATCGTCGAGACAGTTAACTTCGCAAGAGCACAATTCCACATCCCTGTCTAAGGCCTACTCTTACTAGGAAATAATCTCCCACTCACCTACATACTCTAACCCTTAAACTGTTCAAACATAGATCTACATTCACTCGCATGTCACTCCGAATATTTTGAAAAAGACAAAAATCGTTTTTTTCTTTTAAAATGAAGAGCACATTTTTCTACATGTTGTAGGATTAAAAACAAAAATTAGGGTCAGTACTTACCGAGATATAAGACCACCATGAAGCTGCCTCTGGATGCTCACCTGTCAGCAACACAGACTCCTGCTGCTTGCAGAAGTGTTGCCGATATACCTTTTTTTCTCGTTTTTATTTTAATTTATATTTTTTTATGTTCTGATAATTACAATTTATAACAGTTCTTGTAATTTCATAGCCAATCTTTGTTCTGACACTATTATTAGGTACTGAAATAGTGTTCAAATAGTCACAATCACATTGACAGGTGAACATTTACACCTGCTTGGATTATTTACTATTGCGTAGAAATATATACAAAGTATTTATAGGTCCCAGCAATGTTGTAGATACCCTGGCATATAGCTTGAAGCATGTTGTCATGAAAGGCATCCCTATACTGTTGACAGCCCAGTGACATTTGATAAATGCCCACTACTCCAGCTAACCCTCACTGTATTTGTTATCACTGTTACACACAAACATGTCTTGTCTCTCTATTTATCTGTCTGTCTATCTGTCTGTCTATCTGTCTATCTATCTGTCTATCTATCTGTCTATCTGTCTGCCTGCCTGCCTGCCTGCCTGCCTGCCTGCCTGTGTCTGTCTGTCTCTGCTTATCTGTCTTTCTGTCTGCCTGGAGTATATCACACTCCTTGAAGAATCGTGTTATGACATCCGTTATCAGTTCAGTGACATCTGATTTATAAATGGGTGCTTGGGGGAACCCTGGCTTTGTTTGTTTTCACTGATGCACACAAACATGTTTCTGTGTCTGTCTGTCTGCCTGTCTGTCTGCCTGTCTATCTTTGGCTGGAATTTTTGGATTATCCTAGGTAATTTACACTATGTATAATAACTGTACTTATGTGTACATGTGAGACAGAGATATAGACAGATACATAGCCAGAGATATAGATAGACAGAGATATAGACAGAGAGAGAGCCAAAGCAAGCCAACCTGCCAAATACATAAGAACATAAGAACGATAGAACACTGCAGCAGGTCTACTGGCCCATGCAAGGCAGGTACATGTCACCCTGCCCCCGGCTTAGACCAATGACCCACCTAGTCAGGTCACATCCATTGAAGGAAGGAGCATGACATTACAACTAGTAGCACAAGCTAGTCAGGTCCAACTCACACCCACCCACACTAAATCATGTATTTATCTAACCTATTTTTACTTTCCTCTTAAAATGGGAGTGTTAATGTGACACAGTATCAGCGAATCCCTGGTGTTTGCCACGCTATTTGCTCTAGCTGGCGCTCAATTGAACTGGTGCTCCCACAAGGTACTAAGTGCTCCCAGATTTTTTTAATAGTGCACACACTGAGTGCACAGACCCATTCTTTCATGTCTAGGCAACTCAAGCCTATTGTGCCAAATTTAAAGGAATGAAAAATAAAACACTGATCTACGTTTGGAGCGCTACCCATATAAACGTAGATCTACGTTTGGACAGTTTAAGGGCTAACCTGAGCCTTACTATCCTCGTAAAAACTCTTCACTGCTTTCAATAACCTACCTCTTATTCCATACATTTGCAACATCTGCCACATTGCCCCCCTATCCACCCTATCATACGCCTTTTCCAAATCCATAAATGCCACAAAAACTTCTTTACCCTTATCTAAATACTGTTCACCTATGTTTCAATGCAAGCACTTGGTCTACACACCCCTTACCCTTCCTAAAGCCTCCTTGTTCATCTGCTATCCTGCTCTCTGTCTTACTCTTAAAATTATTTCAGTAATAACTCTACCATACACTTTACCAGATATACTCAACAGACTTATTCCCCTATAATTTTTACACTCTTTTGTCCCCTTTGCCTTTATACAAAGGAACTGTCGAGCTTAATTCATTCTAGATGTCGGTTCGACAACCAAACCAATTTTTCCCATAAATAATAATGTAAATATAATTAATCTGTTCCAAACCAAAATGACAGTATAATAATTTATTAATAATAGTGTACTAACTACTACCTAAAACAATGTATAAAATTAAACAGCACATGGAAACTGTAAAAAATGAATACTAAATGAAAATTTAACTGAAATACTGTACAGTAAATGAAAATTTAACTTCCTCTTACCTGTTAGAGGAGAGCTAATGGCAAAATTCTAGCAGCTTCAAATCTTGCAGGAGAAAGCTGGTAGGCCTACATGTGAGAGAATGGGTCTGCGTGGTCAGTGTGCAGTATAAAAAAAATTCCTGCAGCACGCAGTGCATAATGAGAAAAAAAACTGTGACAGCGTTTTTGGTTTAAAACAGTGACTTTGCAGTATATTTTCATATGGTATTTTATTTTCTTCAGGAATAGGAATAGGGAATAAGGTCTCATCTGATAGAATGGAAGATATGTTACAGAAATAGAGATGATTTTCAATGGTGTAAAGACTAAAAATAGCTTGAAAATGAGCTCAAAGTAGTGGAAAAGTTTGATTTTTGCTGATGGTCAAGAGTAAACAAATCATGTCAAGAGTCCAATACATGTCAACTGGTGGGTCTAATATGCATTCACAAATACAATGACATTAGTTTTATACAGTTATTACAATTATGCAGTAGTCTGCATAACTGTAATAACTGTGTGAATAAAAATTAAAAATTAAATAGGTAAATGGACAGTTTCTTGTACTCATTGATAGAATAAAAGGAGTTCTAGTGAAATAGCTATGAGTTTGGTAGACTGGAACAATGAAATTGGCCCAGAATAAGGCTCAAAGTGAGTGAAATCGCTGATGTGTAATATCAATGAGACCGCTAACTTTGTGATAGCATAATTCCGTAAGTTTTCCATGAAATTTCATACTTCCGATTTCATTACTTTCACAAGATGCCCAGCAAGAGCTCAAGAGATATTTACAGCATGTGCATTAGTTGTTATACTGGCTGAAACCCATGCCATGGGCTCTGTCTGGTGATCACGTGATCCTAGCACT